TCAACACCATATAGTTAATATTGATAAAATAAAAGATTATATATAAATTTTTATTTAAAAAAACGTTTGATTATCTAGAAGGATATAGAGATTATGCAAATGAAACTTGACAAATTTCAGATAAAGAAAAGTATTTTTAATCTTAAAAGCAAAATGACTTTGTACGTCGGATAAAATTCACAAAGAAAAAATTCACAAGCTTATCTTTAATAAAATAATCTTAAAACATAATTCAAAAACCAGATATTTTGTGTTTGAAATCTTTGTAATGTTTACTAATAATCTGCAAAATTTTGTAAAGACTTGCTTACATTTTCAAAAACTATAGTAAAATTACTGTTATAGATACTTTCCTGGTTACGAACTGGGTGGATTCCCATAGATGTCAGGTTTATTGAAATATTAGGTAATGGGAAAATATTTTTTTGTGTGTGTTGATTAAGTTTTTATGATAATTGAGATATCTTTTTTATGAGTTGTTTGCCCATCATACTGCTAGTTTTTTTTTTACATTGTATGAGATAAATGAAATGGTGTAAACAATATCTACATCACATTGTTACATTGAAATGCATTTTCATGTACTTTGAATGGTCTTATCTTTTCTCAGCCATGTTAGTGTGGTTTATCCCTATTGACTGTGATTATAAGTAAAGCTGAAATTATATTTGCAGTGTGGACTAACTTCTGTATGCTAATTGTGCATTTCTTGAGAAATATTTAGTGCATAAATTTTAATAACTTTTTGAGAATCTCACTTTCAATATTTAAAAATTAAGATCGGATTTTTGTTACTGCCTGTATCCAAGTGAACTATCAACAACTGGTGATCTTTTTCAGGATAAAACTGCTCTCCTGGAATCCCCAAACATCAGTGATGTAGATGACCAGGAAACTGAATTGTATCTCAAAAAGGATCCTGCCAATCCCAAAAGTCACAAATATACAGGTGATTTGACACCTAAGGAAGCTGTTAAGACTAAGGAGTTCTACCTGCTGTGGTTTACATTTGCTCTTAATGTACAATGTGTACAGTTTATCAATACTATGTATAAGGTAAGAGTCAATACTCAAATGTGAAATACATAAATTTATGATATTTCAACTGTACCATAAACTTGGTTATGGGGTTTGACAAAGAAGTATTTGCAACATTCTGTATGTACAGATTATAAATTTTTACTGCAATAAACTAATTACATATAAGAAAGTCTCAATCTCGACCCTCTGGGCCTCAGTCTCAATGTTTTACAGGTTTCAAAAATGAGACCAGCTAAATATAAATGTTTTTACAGTATTAGACCAGTCACCTACCCAGGATTATTAAGTATCGATTACACAGCAGTTCATACAAGAAACGATATAACATCAAAGATATTTTACTAGTAAAACCCCCTTGATACTACACATTTGCAATGATGTTTATAGTGCCTCCCTTATTTTTGTTTATGTCATGAACTGCCATATTGCCTGTGTGTCAATCCACAGTTATAACACGTGATATTCAAAACTAACTGCTACTATACATTGCATTACTCCTAAGCTTACTACAAGTTTGTATGAACATCATCTGGTGCATTTATTTACATCAAATTTTAGCAATTATCCCTGATATTCAACATGTCTAGTAGATCTGTTGTGATCCTGTTTGGCTTCAAAGATCATAAAGAATTTACTGACAACAATACTGGTTTTAGTTTTATTTGCTGACGTTTTTTATTTTTTTATTCATTCCTTATTTTTTTAATTGTTTTTTTTTTTTTAATGAGGAGACGTTAGAACGAAGACTGTGGGGTTGACATGTAAAAGATTTGTGGTTAAGCTGTTAATAAAGTTTGTTTGATGCATGTGATTTTTACTCTTATTGCTTTATTTTTCATTGTGTAATTTATTACAAGGTCTCAGTCTTGAACCCTCAGGTCTTGGTCTTAGACACTTAGGTCTTGACTAAAACACTGCATATAAATGTAAAACAAAAGCAGATTCTTAAAAGTGAAATTCAAGACAAAATCTGCCCCTCAAAGCAAAATTCAAATTATAATGTTTAATAAAAAGCAAATTCAAATCAAATGAATTCACTATTGTGCCAGTAACAAACACACAAACAAAGATAATTGAAAATGATACCATTTGTCAGGAAAATACAAAAGTTATAATTTTTATAGGAAAATGTCTGTGGCAATAGCTTCTATCTAACATAATCCACAAAGACATGAAAAACAAGATAGCTAACAAGGAAAATCAAATAGCGACTAGATTTTATGTGCTATAGTCCACAATATCCAAAACCTACTACCACTCGCTATCCACAGCCAGTTGTGATTGTGGTTGTTACCCCTTAAAAAACCATTAAAATTATGTTAGACTTGTCATTATTGTAGAAACTGGGCTATCTAAATAATGTTTTTCTTGTAATAATATCATAAAGTTGGAAGTAGGGTGTTTTACAAATGTAGAAATTAGGGTTGGTGTTTACTAACACAAATTCTACCATGATGCTAAGTCTAACATCATTTCAAGGACATTTTTAGGGATAACAACTACTACCACAATTAACTATGGACAGTGAGTACTGTAGGATTTTGATATTGTAGGCTATAGCACCCAAAATCTAGCTCCTATTTGATTTTTTTTTGCAAACTTTCATATTTTTCATCTGTATCTTTGGATTATGTCTGTGGCTTTTGGAAGCTATTCCTGCAGACATTTTCCTTTAAAAATTATACATTTGTACTTTAATGATAAATGATTCAAGTTTTAATTATCTTATTTTGAATGTTTGTAATAATGGATTGATTTGATATATTATAGTTGGATTTGTTATTACTTCTCATATTTTTTTCATATTTGTTATATATTGCTGAATTTTCACCTATGTACTATTGATGCAGAGAATATGGATATCTATCTATATCTATCTATTTATCTATCTATATATATATTTAAAAACAAAAACTTTTAAGTCATATTTCACTTCCTGTGAATATTATAGTTCACAAAGTAACTTCCAGAGTTTTCTGTTGCTAAAGTTCATTTTATTCTTCCTTTCAGCTTGTAAGATTGTTTAAAAATTTAAAACAATTTTTTAGAAAATTGTATGTAGAAGAAACAGGGAATTTTGAAATTAGGATAAATCTACATTGATATGTGAGAAATCCACATTTAAGCCCAATACAAACAAGCACTAATTTCTACAGTTGTCTTAATAAAACATTTTAAAGGAATCTTTTTTTTTAAGTTTATCTTTTTTGGTCTTGTAACAAAATAGGATTAGATTATGAAAAATATTTTATTAAAAAATTCAATGCCTTGAACAACAGTTAATAATAAGTTACAGAGGGCACTTAATAAAATATTCCTGTATTTTTTTAAGAGAATTATCTTAATGTACATGTCATTGTAGAAAGTGAAAAAAAAAGTAGAATGAATGATTTATTTGATTATGTGCTAGAGGTGCAACTGATAATTGTTAAATGCTTAGTTTATCATAAATTTTTAGTCTGTTGCAATTGTAAATTAGAATTTTACATGGTTTGAATTTTATTATGTAATTAATCTATTTATATTTTAATAAATTTAATCAGAGATTAAAAAACGTATTTGTGATTTCATTTACTTTAAAAGTATTTTACAAAGATTGTAATGGTTTACAATATTTCATTCATTTTTTATGATTCTATGTATGTAAATTGTATCATTTTATTTCTTAATATTAATGTATCCAGGCTGAAGAGAAGTCAAACCTGTGAAACAGGTTCTCTAAAGAATATGCAAGTTTAAATAATTCAAAAATATACTTACCTCCACAGATACTATAGCTCTTTCTTTATCTCCAGGGTTTCCACTCTTTGCCCATCTAAGCATTGGAAATGTCTGCTCCAGTCTTTTACACCCCACTCGATTGTCTTTGGCAGATTCTAGTTTGCAAGATTCTCCACAAACTTCAATGCTCCTTCTACTCCTTCTATTTAGGTACTATATATTCAGCTCATTTACATTCTTCTTGATCATCACTGGCTTCTCGTGTTTTTGGTGCTAACTTGGGAGTGTTGGCTTGTAGTGTTTCTTGAACCCTCCTTCGGTTCCCAGGTCTGTTGGTTCCCATAATAGAGTCTGTCCATATTCTTGAGTATCTTTGGCTCAGGTAGACCATTGACAATGGCGTTGGTAACTTTCCCGTGGGCAGAAGAGCAGTAGGAGCACGATCACATCACTTTCTGGTCATCTGGAGTTCTTTCACCAGGGATCTATCGGTACTCCATGTTCTGGCTTCATGGTTGGTCATTCAATTTACATCACCTTCACCATTATCTACACAACCTGTTGCTTTTTCACCTTCAAGAGATCCACGGAGAGTGGAGATTTGTTCCCAGGCCATAAGAGTTGTCAGTTAAAAGTGCAGTAGAGAGGGTTGATTCATTGTATCCAAGAAGACCGGAGATTGGCGTCCAAGCATCAATCTGTCTCGACTCTATCAATTTTTAGATCTTCCTCGTTTTAGTATGAAATATTTTCTCAACCTATTATGGCACTTTGCACCAGGGCTCTTGATGTTACCGACACTTATCTCCATATTCCTATAGCGGAATATTCCCAGAGGTTTCTCAGATTTGTGCACAAGGGTAAGGGCTCTATCTTTTGATCTTGCATCAGCACCTTATGTCTTCTGCAAAGTTGTTTGAGCTTTTTCTCATCATCTGCATTCCTTGGGTCTCTGCACACATCATTATATGGATGACTGGTTCCTTCTGCCACCATCTCGCCAATTAGCAGAACAACACTCTCAGATTCTCCTTTCAGAAGCCACAAAAGCGGTCTTCCTTATTAGACTGGAGAAATCTATTCCATCACCGATGCAGTATCTCCTCCATCTGGGTGTGTTTTTTAATATTCACTTAATTCATGCTCAACCAACCCCTGTCAAGCTTCATGCCATGGAAAGAGTTGTGAGGCTTTTACTTATGTCTCCTTCTTCTACTGCTTGGATGGTTCTCTCTCTTTTGAGGATGTGGGTATCCTTCGAGCCTCTCATTCTTTCGAGATGAGCACGTATGAGTCCCTTCAGTGGTCACTGTGTGATCAATGGATCATGCATTCTGTTCCTTTGGATCATCCTGCCTTATTACTCAGGAGCAACATCGTTGGTTAAAAATGGTGGTTGGATCAGAACAACACTACTATTGGGGTACCCATTCCATCACCTTGTCCCATGATCCATCTGTTCACAGACGCAACTCATTAGGGAAGGGAAGCTTATTTTCGAGGTCAGGAATTCCAGGGTAATTGTATGGAAGACGAGTCTACCCTCCATATCAACGTTCTAAAATTCCTTGCAGTACATGGGGAAATGGTACAAGGTGGTATCTCAGATTTCTCATCAAGGAGGCACACATTCTCGAGACCTTTGTTTTCGTGTCTTGGATCTTCTCTATGGGGCTCATTCCCATCATATCAGTTTTTTGGCATGTTATGTTTCAGGAGGGATGACTTTAATTGCAGATCACTTGTCTTGACCAAACTGGATTTTTCCAAAGGAATGGATGCTACATCACAAGGTGTTTCAGTGGATGTGCTCTCAGTTCGGGTCTCCAACAATTGATGCCTTTGCAACTCATTGGAATTCTCAACTGCAGTAGTTTTGGTCTCTGATACCTCATCCTAAAGCATTGGTAGTAGATGCATTCATTTAGGACTGGACAGGTTTACATCTGTATGCCTCTCCACTGATTTGGCTATTGCCCTGGGTTCTGACTATGGATCCTTCCCCTCCCTGTTGAGTTCTTTTGGTTGCACCATATTGGCCTGCTCAAACGTGGTTTCCGCTTCTTTGGTATCTGCAGGAATGTCCACCTCTACCTCTTCTACATTGGCAGTCTCTGTTGATCAGACATTCTCCACCCAGATGTTTGGAAACTCAATCCTCATGCTTGGAAGTTATGCAGTCCTTTGTCTGACATTAAGGTTTAACATCTAAGGTGTCTCTGTATTTAACTACATCTCTTTGTAGGTGAAACAAGGCTGTTTATCAACAGTAATGGAATACTTATTATCAGTGTCATATTAAAAGGAATTTAAACCCTCTTCATCCTAAAGTATTTACCATATTCAATTTTATGACTTTGGTATTTGAGAGAGGTCTTGCTTCATCTACAGTGGCTTTAGATAAGGCATCCTTATCCATTATTTTTTGGTATTCCACATATCTGAAGGTTTTTGACACCTCAACATTATCGGGTTTATTCAAATCCTCTTGTATTCTTCAACCCAAACAACCCTTTCATTACTGAATTGGGATTTTACAGTTATTTTACATGCATTGTCTCATCCTCCCTTTCAGCCCTTAGCTTCGTGTTCTTTGTTTCACCTTTCTCTTTGCTTGTGGACGTTGTCAGTCAGAGCTGTTTGCAATACATATGCATCGGACTTTTTATCATTCCACGTTTATCCTGCTTCACCCAGATAGATCTTTTCTTCCCAAGACTCTGGCAGCTAGGGAAGGGGAAAGATCCTTCTCACCAATCCATTTGCCAGCCACTCCTCACCTTTATGACATATCTGATCCTGATTGTTTGTTATGTCCTGTTAGGGCCTTCATGTGTTATGTGGCTTGTACTAATTCATTTTGAGGTAGTACAAATCGATTGTTCATTCATGGAATCCTTTTATTTCCCTTGGCTTATCTTCTATTACCCTAACGAGGTGGCTTTGTAAATTGATTCACATGGCTTATAATGGATTATAGTTTCAGGAGAAGAATCTTTTGTATGTCACATCTCACCAGATTCGTCATATTTCTAAGTCATTAGCTGACCGGTTGACTTGCCCCATGAAAGACATTGTGCGGACTTGTATGTGGACTACTCCTAATACTTTCCTATCTCATTACTTGCATGATCTGGCAGTTTTGTCTTCTGAGGGTTTTTGACTACATCTGTTAGATTTTAACCAGGGTGAGTATTTTCCTCAATTATATACTCTTTTATTTCAAGGGTCCTTTTGTTTTTCACTGGCAAGTGTTGCCCAGGCAGGTGTGATTTCTGTTTTCAATTATGTACTAGCAACCACTTTCACTTATTATTATGGACCACCACTGATGGACTATAATGAGTTAAGCTAAAGGGGATTCTGCCCATCCATGCTGATCTTCAGGTTGAATAAATTGGGGTCGGTTTGCTTTTAAAAATGTAAGGAACTTGGTTCATCTACTGAACAATTTCCAGAGCACTGCTCCTCTGGACTCCTCAACACCTATTACCCCCCCCCCCCCCCCCCCCC